GCTCCTGGGCAGGAGGGGGCGTCCTGGGGCCGTTCCAGCTGCATCCCAGCCCTGCTCCCATCCCGTCCCAGCGGGTTCCCAGCCCTGCTCCGGGGCAGAATTGCTTCCTGGGGAAGTGCCATTAAGCCATTAGGACCTTCCAGCGCATAAAATGGGGAACCTGTGCCGGGACCGGGAACAAAAGCCGCTCATTTTCCTTAATGAGTCTGGCGTTCCCACTGTTTTATGGGAGCTGTTTGGGGGAGGAGGAGCTGCTCCTTCCCTCCTGAGAATTTCCCAACTTTGGCTCTTCCTCCTTTGTTTCCCCCCCTCAAGCCCCAGCTGTGTTTTGGGAGCACAAGCCCCAGAATCCAGCCCTGGAATCCGCCCCTTCTGTTATATTTTGGGGGAAGTGGGGGGTGGGAATGGCCCAGAGGGCAGGGAATACGCCTGGAGCTGCCCCATGAACTAGAACACAGCAACTCTTTGTGTTCCAGGGCCATAAAGGAATAAAACTCCCCAGCGATTCGAGGCTTTGGGCTTCCCACGGGAGCTGGAGGAGCCTTGAGCTGGGCCAGGAGTTGTTCCTGCAGTTCCAGCATCCAGTCCATCCTTTTTTCAGTTCCAGTGCCAATCCCTCTGGTTTTGGGGTCTCCACAGAGTGGTTTGTTCTGCTTTCAGTGGTTCTTGATCCCTCCAATCCTGAAGGAATGAGAGTGTGGCTGCTCCTGGTGTGATCCCACCTCATTTCCCAAGGGAATTCAGGGATGCTGGCAGGCCTGTTCCTTTGCTGGGTGATGTTTTCTGACCTAGATATTCCCAAAATTTTGGTTAGAAGTTTCCCAGGCCTCATCCTTCCCTCTGGCATCGATGTTGGGCTCCAGTTTGAGGAGAGTCCACAAACCTGGCTCGTGGTTGCTCCCGTTTCCACACAGACCCTTGGTTGGGTTGGAAATGTGTGACCAAGAGGAGATTCCCAACCCCTTTCCCACCAGGACATGTCTCTGGAATCTGCAGGAGCTGCTCTGACTGGTTTCTCTCTTTCCCAACCCCCCCAGGATCACGGAAAAGAAGGTGGTGAAAATAACATCAGAGATATCCCAGATGGAGGTAAGATTCCTCCTGCTGCGTCCTTCTGGGAGGGGATTCCCCTTTTCCCCTCCTTCTGGGGGTGCCTGAGGCAGGGTCAGTGTTTCCACGGGAAAACTGCTTTAGTTTTGTGGATTGGTTTTGGATTTCCCATCCCTGGGAGTGTCCCAGGCTGGGTTGGAGCCACCTGGGATAGTGGGAGGTGTCCCTGCCCATGGCAGGAGGTGGATGGGATGAGCTTTAATGTCCATCTCGACCCATTCCACCATTCCCTGATCTCTTTTTCCGCCCCTCTCCCTGTGTTTGTGCTCCCTGGAAACTCTCGGGTGCCACTGATTCCTCTGGGAAGGCTCTGGAGTTTCAGGAATCTGCTTCTCTAATCCCCCCTTAATTTTGTTGGCTCCCGAGGCAGAAATCCCTATGAAAACACGATTCCTGCTGTTCCCAATGACTGCAGGGTCTAATCTGCTGTTTGGGACACGCTGATTTCCACAGCAACCGGAGCGATGGCGCAGGAGGGGGATTGTGACCTTGGAGAGGCAGGAACAGTGTTGGGGGGGCTAGGACAGATCCTGGAGGGAATTGCTGCAGTTTCTCCCCTGCTCTTTTTTTTTTTTCCCTGATTTCTGTGAGATTTTTCCCAGAAAATCCCCTCTTTTTTTGGTTGTTATTTAGTGTGAGTTTGGCAAAATGGTGTTGGGAGTGGATTTTGAGGAGAAAAGGGTGGTGCCTTTTTCCACCTTTATTTTGCCTTTTTCCACCTTTATTTTGCCTTTCTCCACCTTTGTTTTCCCTCCTCCACTGAGTTCCAGCTCCTCAGCCCTGGGGAGGGGCCCAAGTGCTGCTCCCAGTCCAGCTTTTCCAAACATTTATATTTTGGAGCAGATGTTTATGATGCTCCTCGCTGTGCCCTTGGCTCCACTCAGTGTTTCCATTAAATATTCCCTGTTTTTCTAACCTCCAAAGCACCCCATGCGGCGTAAGAATCAAATATTAATCATTTCCCTGGGGCTTTCAGAGGGATGTAAGTCCTTGGAAGTGCAAACCTTTGCATTCCTGATGATTCCAGGGTTTTCCCTGTGCTCTGAGCCAACGAGTGGCCGAGTTGTAGCTGGAATTCACCTGGAATTTCTCCGCTGGTGGCAAAGTGCTCATGGATGGGGTCAGGCTCCTGAGAAGGGGCTTGTTCCAAAGAAACAAATTCTCTGGAAAAAACACCTCCATTTTTTCTTTTGAGCACATTTCCTGGGATTTTTACCTGGGGAGGAGGAAGGGAGGGAAGTGTTGGTCCCTGGAGCTGGCGGTGCCTCCAGGAGCGATGTTGGCTGTTCCTGGCCGGGGCCCTTTCCGTGGCTCAGAAATTCCTTGTGATGAAGGCCTGAGCCATCCCAAAATACTCACCTGTCTCTGCTGCCTGTTCCTGTTTCCTCCCTGAGCAATGATGGACCTTTTCCATCAGGGATTTCCTTGGAGCTCTGGGGGCCGGGGGTGTCCGGGGCCTGCTGGTCGCATGAGGTGCCGGGGGGGCACCTTCTCCCTTGGCTCCAGGGGGGAAATTTTCCCTTCCCTCTCCTGCTGGGGTCTGTCATTGCACTCTGCCACCTGCCAGCCCTCCCTGTTCCCTCCCAACTCCCGTGTCCCTTTCCCAGCGGATGCAGAAAAGGGCCGAGCGCTTCAACGTCCCCGTGAGCCTCGAGAGCAAGAAGGCGGCGCGGGCGGCGCGGTGAGTGCGGCCGAGGCAGCTCCCCCTCGGCTGCCACGGGGCAGGGCTGGGGGGGTTTGGGAGCACATCCCTCCCTGGGAGCCTGGGGAGGCCCTGGAATGGATTTCCCATCCCTTGGGAGTGTCCCAGGCCGGGTTGGAGTGACCTGGGGTAGCGGGAGGTGCCTCAGGGCAGGTGGAGGTGGATGGACGTGAAGCTCCCAAACCCATTCCATGAGTCTTCCCTGGGAAAAGTCTCTCCAGGGTCCTTTGTATGAGGGGGTGGGACAACAGCACTGGAAGGGTCTGGAAAACCAGGTTTGCTGGAGGGTTTGGGATCTGAGTGGCTTTGAGGTTGGGTTTGGAGAAGGTGGGAGTTGCTGCAGGAATTCCATGAGCTGGGAATGACGTGTTCCAGCTCATCCCTCCCCCAAACCAGGGAAAATCCTTGGAAGGGGAATTCCCCAGGGCTGGTCATTCCCACCACTGACTCACCTTTGTTCACATTCCACAGGTTTGGTTTGGCCACAACTCCCACAAAAGGTGAGGAGAAGCAGAACCAGCCCTTGAGGGGGAAAAAAAGGCTGGTGGGACAAGCTTTGATTTCCCTTTCCCTGGAGCTCCAGGTGGGAATTTTTGAGTCAGAATCAGGAGGAAAAGGGCACGTGTTGTCTCTGGGGGGTTGGATTTTCCCCGTGTCTCTCACTCCAAGCACAGCTGGGAGGCACAGACGGATTTTCCTTGGCATTCCTTGGTCCTTCCAAACATCTTTGGCTTCCTAGAATGCCACGTTCCACTCCTTGAGCTGCTGGAGAGGTGGGATGGGGGTGGGTTTGAGAGTGGAGAAGCTGCTTTGAAGGTGGAATTGGGAATGAGCAAGGATGGAAAGTGGGAAGAGTAGGGTGGGAATTGCCATCTCCTTGGAGACAAAATCCAACTCCAGTGCTGTTCCCTAACTGGGAATTCTCTCTCTTCCCTCCTCTCAGGCCTCTCTGCAGACAGCAAACCCACGGTAAGAAAAACTTAATTCCACTGGAATTTTGGGTGGGAACACGGTCCAAGTGGTTCCTGCAGGAGCGGGGGCTGTGGCATCACCCCCTGGGGGAGGTTGTGGTTCCTCTGTGCCAGGACTGGGACAGCCCTCGCAGGGCTCTGCCAGGGAAGGCTTGTCCCAAAAATCTGGGCTCTTTAGGGGTAATTTATTTAAGGATAACAGTGCCCGATAGCTCTGGGAAGCCTTGGGAAACCTTGGGAAGCTGCTGGGTTGGGAAGGGGGTGGTGCAACCTCCCAGCCCTGGGGCAGCCCGGCAGCAGAGCCGGTTTTTAGGAGTCCTGGCAGCTTTCCCAGAGGCCCTTAATTGTCCATCTGAGGATGAGGCTGATCCCTGTCCCTGAAACCCGAGGGATGGGGATGGGAAAAACAAGCCACGGAAATTGTTTCCTGCTTCTTGTAGATAAACATGGATAAACTAAAGGAAAGGGCTCAGAGGTTTGGGTTGAATGTCTCCTCACTCTCCAAAAAGGTAAGGACATTCCAGGACACTCCTCCCACCTCAGGATTATCCCAGTGTTCCAATCCCACCACTGTCCCTGTCCGAGGTTTTACATCCCGTTCCCAAGCCCTGTCAACACCATTTCCTTCCCCTCTGGTTATTTGTGCTGGGACTCCATGTGGTTTTCCAAGGGTTACAACTCCCGAGGGGTTGGAGTTTTGAGGTTGTTCATCCAGATTTTAAGTGGGAAGAGCCCCCACGATCCAGGGGGTTCAAATCCCACCGTGTCCGTGCAGGTCCCTGCCGAGAGCAGGAGCCAGGTCAGCCCAGACCTGGAGCTCTAGGGAGAAGGTTCCAGAGGGAGATTGCCCTTGGAAGTACAACAGATGTGCTGGGGATGGATTTGGCCTCGGAGCTGTTGGTTTTTCCAGGGGAAAATGGACACAAACTGTGGAACTCCTTGTACTGGATCTTGTGGGATCTGCGGGAGGGGCAGGGGATGGAGTTGGGGGATGGATTTGGGATCTGTGCCCAGCTCAGGAAGGAAGCTGGGATCCATGTCCAGCTCCAGGGTGGGATCTGAGGGAGCTGAGTGTGCTGGGAATGGGAAAACGTGGCTGGAAAACAACTGGAGCAATAGTCCATCACCTAAACCCAGCAAAGGGGGCAGAAGATGGATTTAATGTGGTTAGGGAAAGCAAAATGAGGGATAAACACATCTTGGGAGATGAACCCAACTCCCCATGGCTCCCTGGGCAGGGGCTAAAGGGGCTCCAGGAAAGCTGGAGAGGGACTTTGGACAAGGGATGAAGAAACAGGACACAGGGAATGGCTTCCCACTGGGAAAGACAAGATTTAGGTGGGATTTTGGGAAGCAGTTCCTCCGTGTGAGGGTGGTAAGGCCCCAGAATGGATTTTCTGGAGGATTCACCATGCCTGGAAGTGTCCAAGGCCAGGTTGGAGGCCCCTGGTCCAGTGGAAGGTGTCCCTGCCCATGTTGGGATTGGATGAGCTTAAACCCCCCCCTCCCAATTCCTTCCATGATTTTCCTTTCCCTGGCTGCAAGTTCTCCACTTCATATCCCAGTGCTGTGGCCGTGGGAAGTGCCAGGAGCCCTGGGAATGACCCTGGTTGGACCCCAGTGTGTCCCTTCCATGGAAAAGGCCCAACTCCCTGTGCTGGGACAGGTTAATTTTTACCCCTCATGGCTCCAGCTGAGTTTTGCTTTAATTCCAGTTGACAAGAACGTGTTTTCCGTGGAGCAGATCCGGGCCCGGATAAGCCAGGGGGGACAAGGGCTCAGTGGAGCAGCAGAAAGTCTCTGTGTGTCCAAACCGGCAAATGAGGCAGAGAAAACAATTCCTTTAATTGTTTGGCTTCCAGGAGCTCGGAGTGGCAGCCTGAGGAGGAATATCCTTCTCCTGGATAATCCCTGTGCCTGCAGCCTTTCCAAACCCCCCCTGGCAACCTGGACCAGGAGCTGTTGGCCCCCAAGGAAGCCAAGGGTGGTGATGGAGGGGGGATGTCGGCAGAGGAAAGGGAAGAGGGTTGGTGGGATGTTCCAGGAGGCCAATTCCTATGGATTAGAGAGGTGGGATTGACCTCGGTGGAGGGTTTGTTGTCGGGAAATTCAAATTTCTGGCACTTTGGAGAGGTAGCTCTGGCCTTGTAGGAAAGGCCACATGCCATTGAGTGGGATTTTCTTCCCAAATTTCATGTTTTCTGACTGTGAAAGAGATGAAGCCTCTGGACAGGGCTGTGGGATGTGGGCAGGGGATGGAGAACTGAGGGAACTGGGGGGGCTCATCCTGGAGAAAAGGAGTCTCAGGGGAGACCCTCTGGCTCTCCCCAACTCCCTGACAGAGGAAGTGGCCTCAGGCTGTGCCAGGGGAGGGTCAGCTGGACATCAGGAGGGATTTCTCCATGGAAGGAGTGGTCAGGCGTTGGCAGGAGCTGCGCAGGGAGGTGGTGGCAGCTCTTCTCCCAGGCTGTGCCCGTGGGACACCGCGACGAGCCCCATCCCGAAGCTGCCATTCCATGTCCATCCCACAATGGGAAGGCCCCATTGGGACACATAGAGGAGCAGCAGCGGCTCCGTTTTGGCCTCCCCCTCATCCCCCTGTCCCTCAGGATCGTCCATCCAGGCTCTTCCCTCTCCCCAGAGCCCTTCCAGGCCTTCCCTCCCTGTGTCACTTCCCAAACAAGGGCTTCAGGGAAGCTCCGGGCGTGGCCGGGACTCGTTCCCGGCCTCGCTGACCTCCCTCTCCCACTCAACTGGTCCTTCCTTGGGCCCCGCTGGGAAACAGGACTTGGCTTTTGTCTGGAACACAAATACATCCCCCCCTCCCCCTCTATTATGATTCCATCAATGATGTCATTATGTCCCATTCAGGGGCTCCTGGACCCCTTGGCTGCAGGAATTTGGAGGAGAATGGCAGGGCCTGCTCCGGCTCCAGCCCTTCCTGAGCCTGGGGGAACAATCCGACCTTCCCCTTCCCTTGGGGGGGGGCAATGAAAACAGCCCAAAAATTCCCCCTGTGGAAAGCCTGGAGGGAGCACAGGGCACCCCTCTTTCCCAAACTCCCAGGGTTTTAAGGGGATCCCTCCTTCCCAAACTCCTGGAGCTCTGGGAGGAATCCCTTCCTTCCCAGAGATTCCTTTTAATTCCCAAATTTGTTCTATTCTTGGAAGATTCAATGGTTTCACTTCCCTTGTCTGTGGGATGTTGCTCTGAGTGGTTTTTGGGGGATATTCTGACTCCCTGATTTTCACTCAGCCATGCCAAATCACGTGTTTCCAAAGAGTGTGCTCCCTGTTTTAGGGCTGGATGTGGGAATCCATCCCTGCCTGGTGGGAAAACCCACCCAGAAGGTCCAGACCTCCAGTTTGCCCAGTTGCACAGTTCCCAGGGGACTCTCCTCCAATCCTGCCCGTGCTGGAGCTGGGAATTTGAGGCAGGAAGAGCCTCTGCAAACACGGGGTGACGTTGGAGGTGCTCTGGGGGTGCGAAGAGATGAAAAGCCCCTTTTGCCTCCTGGAATTTGCCTCGTTCCAGTGGCATCATTTGCCTCATCCCTGACGCGGAAGGGCAGGAATTCCATTCCATGTGCTCTTAGCACATGGATGTGACTTTCTGCTGCTCCTCCTCCCCCTGATCCCCTTTGGAGCGAGCACAGACTGCCAGCTGTGACAGCCGGGATGGCTTTTCATGGGAAACCCCCTGGGACAGGCTGGGAGCTGGTTCATGGGTGGTTCCAGGCAGAATCCTCATGTCCTCTGGGAGAGAGGCCGTGCCCGGCTCAGTCCCGCTGCCACCAGCCCCAAATCTGGGCTGGAATCCCAAATCCTTCGAGCTGGAGGAGCTGTGAGAGGAAAGGGATCACCGGTGGGGCTTTGGAGAGCGAAGCATCCCTGTGTCCTGCTCAGTGTGAGGAGGTGAAGAGCTCCTGAAAGGCAGTTTTGGGGCTGGGAATGGGAAGGGATGTGAGGCACACGTGGAACATTCCCATAGAAACACCGGGCTTCCCTTTGCCATCATGTCTCCTGGTGCTCGGAAGCATCAACTCTGGAAGGATTGGGAGGGGAGGGGAGAGAAACTGGAGGAGCAAATGCAGGAATACAGCCTGGAGGAAATAAGGTCGGGATGAATTTCAAACAGGCCCTGGGTGGCAGCTGCGTGCCCCGGGATTGGAGCGTTCCCGGCAATGACTCCCCCCGGAGCTGCCGCTCCGCCCCCCGGGCCGGAATCGGATGCGGAGCTGCCCTTGAGGGTCCGTCACCTCTCCCTTGGGGGGGTCAAGGCCGTGCCACCATCAATCCTCCAGCGCCTGGAGGCCTCGGCTCTGCTCTGCATCCCCCCATCCGTCATCCCGCACCGGGAGAGTGGCCGGGAGGGCCCCGTCCTGGGAACGGCCCCTCTCTGGGGCCTGGGATGAGGACACTCGAGGCCTCACCTGCAATTCCAGAGCAGTTTCCTCCTGGAATGGTTTAATCTGCAGGGAAAAAAGGGGAAGATGTGGAGTAGCACTGCCCTGGAGAGCTGGGAATGTCCGTGGAGAAGGGAAGGATCCAGGGAGGCCTTGGAGCCACTTCCAGGGCCTGGAGGGGCTCCAGGAGAGCTGGAGAGAGACTTGGGACAAGGGATGGAGGAACAGGGCAAGGGGGATCGGCTTCATGCTGGAAACGGGGAGTTACAAGTTGGATTTTGAGAAGAAATTCCTCCCTGTGAGGGCAGTGAAGCACTGGAATGGATTTCCCAGAGGATTCCCCATCCCTGGAAGTGTCCAAGACCATGCTGGACAGGGCTTGGAAGGTGTCCCTGCCCACAGCAGAAGATTGGGATGGGATGGAGCTGGGATCCAGTCGGGACCCTGGGCAGGTCTCCTTGAGTGCCAGAGCCACAGAAGCCACAAATAACAACCTTTTGGCACCAACTCTTCCAGCAGCAGCTCTTCTCCCTTCTCCCAGGAGAGGGGAATGATCCAGTTTTTCAGTGGATCCTTCTCCCCTTGGGGAAGAAGTGATTGGAGCCGGAGAAGCGGCTCACCCCAGATTTAATCGTGGAACTGGGTCATTCATCCCCTGGGAGGGGACAGGAGGGTCCCCCTGGTGCCTGGAGCTCTGGGATTCAGGTTGGACATCCAGGCCGGGAGGGAGCCCTTGGAGAGGGGGCAGACCCCGAGGCAGATTCCCATGGCACTGCAATGTTGCTGCTACCAGCAGCCCTGGGATCCCCCCCTGAAATCAGGGCTCAAAATGAACTCTTTAGGATCAAATCCAGCACAAATCCATGGACAGACTTGGGTGACTTGTCAGGATTCCCAATCCTGGGGATCCCATTACCAGATCACAGGGAAGGCTTTGCCTCCAGGGCTTGGAATCCCTCATGAAACTTTTTTCCCCTCTTCTTCCCGTTCTTTTAGAGAAGTGGGAGAGCAAAGAGAAACAAAAATTGGAACTAGGAGGTTGGAAAATGGATGTGAGGGGCTGTCAGCGGGGTCAGCTTTCCCTGGATTTGGCAGGGCTGGGATTGATGGATGTGGCCGGGGGGGCTCAGGGTCATTTTCCTCAGCTGGATTTCAGCACCCCATGAATCAGCCCCTGGCAGGGGAACAGCTTGGGATGGAGGGGAGTTCACCGGGCGCGTGGAGGGGGGTCAGGGAGCGGGATCGTTATCCTGGGATTGATTTAAGGAAGGGGCCTCCCGAGAGATAAATCACCGGGATCCCGGAGCTCAGGGAGGGGGGAAGGCACAGAATGTTGTGGTGCCAAAGTGGATCTGGGGACCCCCTGCTCAGGGAATTGACCCCCCCTGGGAGTGGGAGCTGTTCTGTTGGATGTCACCGCAGGGTTTAACCCAAGGAGGAGGTGGAAGATGTGGAGCAGCTCTGCTGGGAATTGGGGGGGTTCATGGGGAAGGGAAGGATCCAGGGAGCTGCTTCCAGGGCCTGAAGGGGCTCCAGGAGAGCTGGAGAGGGACTGGACAAGGGCTGGAGGGACAGGGCACAGGGAATGGCTCCCCACTGCCAGAGGGCAGGGTTAGATGGGATTTTGGGAGGGAATTCCTCCCTGTGAGGGTGGTGGGGCCCTGGAATGCATTTCCCAGAGAAGCTGTGGCTGCCCCATCCCTGGAAGTGTCCAAGGTCATGTTGGAGCAACCTGGGCTAGTGGAAGGTGTCCCTGCCCAAGGGCTGAGGAGGGATGGGAGGAACACTCCAGGGCATTTCCAGACATTGAACCCGGTCCCTTCCTTGTGCCAGAGCGAGGAGGATGAGAAGCTGAAGAAGAGGAAGGAGCGGTTTGGAATCGTCACGAGTTCGGCCGGAGCTGGAGCCACAGAGGACACAGAGGTAGGGCAATCCTTCTCCCAGGGAATATGGAGCAGGGAGGGGAGCTGGGAGAGTCCTGGGACCTCCATGATCCAGGGACCCCTCAGGACCTTGGGGGGCTGAGCCCCCACAGCGGGGCTGTGCTCCCCCACCACCTCCCCTCCCACCTCCCAGTCCAGGGGGACTTCCACAGAAAAGGGTTTCCCAAGGGAGGGGTTTCAGTCAACGCCCACCTCAAATCCAAGGACAGATTTCTGCTCACCCATGTCCCTGCTCGGCCCAGGGCTGGGGGGAGTCCCGGGAAGGCAGCGGGAGCTGATTCTCTGGGAAGGAGAAGGGGAAGGGGGCACAGGCAGCCCCTGTGAACCCCGTGGGATGGGGTTTCCATGGATCCGTGCTGGGAATAGGCTGCTCCAGAGCTCTCTGAGCCTCCTCCCCTGGCAGGACATCACGGATGGTTCCAGAAGGAGCAGGGGGCACATCCCACCCTGATCCCCCTCCCCTCCCTGGAGCTGATTCTCCTCATCGTCATTCCCTGGGCCCCAGCAGCTTCTGGACCCTCTGCTATTGTTGCTCTTCATCCATAAATCCCGGGAGGCTCCAGGATATAATGAGGATTGGGATGCTGACCCTGTTTCCAGTGCTTTGTTGTGGCCTCAGCGGTTCTGGCCCATCTTTTAAATTTATCACCTCCTCGGGGCAATTTTGGTCCCTTTTATTGTGCTTTGACACTTCTCCTTCAAGTAATTCCGACCCTGTGCTCCAGGCTGGAATGATTTGAAGGTGGCTCCTGCCTGAAGCAGGTGGGCAGTGCCCTGCACACCTAAATGCCACCCAGACATGGCATTTGGGGACCCTCGTTGGGGACAAAGGGACCCCCTCAGGGTGGGGGGTGCCGGGTGAGTGCACCAGGATTTGGGTACAGCTAAACCAGGCAGCTCCAGTTTGCTTCCTGCGAGAAACTGAGCCCCTCCAGGTGGGATTTGAGGGCTGTGTGTTTTTGGGGGGGTTTCTTCCCTGGGGGGTGAAGCAGGAGCTCTGTTCCCGGCAGAGTGGGGGGAGCTTGAGGCTTTTCCTTCGGGTCACACGGAGACTGTGCTGGAACAAAAAGGGCTTTTTACTGGCATTGTGTGCACTCAAATGCACCTTTCCCTGGAGATCCTGGACTGGGGGCTTCTGTTGCCCCCCGGGCTATTTATCCTGCTAAAAATTAAGATTTATACGCCCCTCGTGGAGCGGCTTAAAGGGGAATCGGCTGCGTATTTAATGTGTCCCTCTCACCTTCCCCATGAATAGAGCAGAGTTCACCCTTTGCCCTTTTCCATTTCCCACCTCCCTACTCCCTTCCAGGGTTTCAGGCCCCTGAAGTCACCATTGTTCCCGGCTCAGCCCCTTTTGTGGCTCTTTCCCACTGTATTCCGGGCACTGTATGTTCCTGTTCCATGGGTTTGGGGAGCTCTCTGGGGTTTGGGGCTCTTTGTGGGTTGGGTCCCTCTATTTCAAGGATCCTTTTGTCATTTGGGTCTCTCAGTTTTGGGCTCTTCGTATTTTGGGGCTCTTTGTGTTGGGAAAAACTCCATCTCTCCCCCTCTGTGGGAGCAGGATCCGGAGCCTCCGATTCCCAGGCTTGTTCCCTAGGCTGAATTTTGAACCAGTTCTCCCTCAGGTTCTTTATGAGGTTTTAAATAACACATTTATTGTTTTTTTTTTTTTTTTAATTTTCCTTGTCCTTCCCTTTCCAGGCAAAGAAGAGGAAAAGAGCAGAACGGTTCGGGATTGTGTGAGGCCGTCCCGGAGCTCCTGCCGTGGGTTTCTCCTCCTCCTCCTCCTCCTCTTCTTGCTCCTCCCTCCCCACTTCCCACCCCCACACTTTTCCAATGGTTTTAGTGACAGGACACGGGTAATTCCCCCAGAGTTGGGTGCTTGTGCTACTTAACATTTAGTTTTTTTTTTTTCAAATGGCCAAGTTTAGAAAAGAGGAAAAAGCAAAATGAAGCAGCTGGTCTTGGTGCCGCCCCAGCCCCACATTCCAGGGGTTTCCCAGTGTTTTAGGGGGTTGTGGCAGCAGCTCCTGATCCTTCCCAGTGCTCCAGGAATCTCTGTGGCCATGGCACAGCTGGGACAAGGGCAGGCCCCATTTCCCCCCCCAGGGGACAATGACGTGAGTCCTGTTCAGTCTCTGCTGCCTCTGAGAACGTCAGGGAAGGATTTTCCCAAATCCATCGTCACATCTTTCCCAAAATGTGGTGGCCTGGGGCATTCCTGTGACCACCCACCTTCCCTGCAGGAGCTTCCAGAGGCAGAATTGCCCGTTAACCCCAGACCAGGTGATTTCTCCCCAAACCAGGAGCGTTGCCCCGGGATCCATGTGTTGGCCGCGGATGTTCCTGGAGGATGTGCAGGAATGTGGCTCTTCCCCCTACAACATCCCATTTTTGGTGAAATTATGGAAAAATCCACTGCTAAAACACACCAAAGCTACTGCTGGCGAAGCCTTTCTGGCTCCCTCAGCTTTGGCACCTTGGATTTGGGGGATTCAGGGAGCAGCTCCAAGGGGGAAAGTGTGGGATCCCCAATCCCATGAGATTGGCAGGGGCTGCCCCGGCCCCCTCCTCCTTCCCAGAGAATCAGCTCCTGCTGCCTTCCCAGAGCTCTCAGAGCAGGAAATGTGTCTGTAAGCAGGAATGTCTGCTTGGATTTCAGGTGGGCATTGACCGAAACCCTTCCCCTGGTGAAGACTTGACGTCCCAGGATTGTTATTCCCCGTGGGATCCTCATCCCGGAGCGCTGGGAAGGCCGTTGGGAGCAGCAGGGACGTCCTACCCCCAGTAACAAGCAATAGTTCTACTTTTTGTAACGTGGAAAGTCTTCAAAAATGCTGCTGTTCCCTGAGCATTTCGGGGCCTCCGGGAAATCCCTGCAATGTTCCTTTCCTTCCCCAAAGGGCAGCTGAAAGCCACAGGATCCAGGTGGGGCCACGGGATCCAGGGGACACCCTGGGGTCCAGGGGACACCCTGTGTCCTTGGCTGTTGGTGTGTGGCTGAGCCCCAGCTTGGTTGCTCCTCCCCATTCCCTGTGCTCCCATTATCCCAGTGTTTTGGTCCGTGTTTGGGATTTCTCCTCCGTGTTTTCTGTTTGCCTCGTGGTTCCCCCACTGGCTGTTGACTTGGAAGGGTTTGTGGTGCCAGGGCAGACATTCCCTCCTCGCTTTCATAATAAAACTCCTTCTCCAAGGCACTCCGGGGCTCCCTGGGTTGGGATTGGGACTGGAGCTGTGCAGGACACCCCCGGCATTCCTGCCCCCGACATACCAAGGGCCAGGTATCCCTGGCATTACCCAGGATGTTCCATGGCCGAATTCCTGCCCCTCCGGCCTCTCACGGATGTCACCCAGGGCAGGGCTGTTCCCCTCCCCTCCCCACGATTTTGGGGCCAGGTCCTGGTGGAGCTCCAGGGGAAGCACAGACTCCTCTGGACTGGGGTCACGGGTGGGTGAGGGGACACGGGTGGGCACTGTCTCTCTGCAGGATTCCGGGTCCCACCGACTGCACCTCGGAAGGTCCTGCTGACACTTCTCCTCCTGGTGTCCGTCCCTCTCCCTCCTCGGAGATGAGTTTTTGGTGGCACCAAATTTGGGATGGGCTCCTCCCCATCCCTGCGGATCCCAGGCCGCTGCCACCACTCCCCGTCCCCCCCGGGGCTGCATCTTCCACTCCGAGCGGCCTCGGGCTTCAAACACCCCCTAATTTATTTTTCCTCCCCGAGCCGGGGGATCCTTGTGACTAATTTGGGCTGAATAGGGGAAGAAAAAAAGCTGCGGGCACACAATGGGCGGGGGAAATTCGTGTGGGAAAGGCAGGGGAAGAAAGGAAGGGCCGGGGCTGCGACTGCCGTGAGAGCGCGCGGAGCGGGGCCCAAATGCGGCGTGAAGTCACTTGTCAGAGCCCCCCGGGGCTGGACGGGCGGGGGAGCCCTGGGTCAGCCCGGGGGGGCTCAGGAGGAGCAGAGGGGGGGCTGCACAAAGGGATGAGGGGCTCCGGTGCCACTGGCCCCTCCTTCCCCTACACCGGCATCAGATCCCCCTGACCTCAAATCCAGCCTCGAATCCCACCAGCCCTGTCTTGTCTCCCAACAGCCTTGAATCCTGCCAGCCTTGAATCCCACCAGGCTTGTCATGTCTCCCACCGGCCTCATCTCCCATCAGTCTCATCTCCTTGAGGTGACCAACGATTGCCCCTCCTTGGCTGTGGCTCCTGTCTCAGGACAGGGATGTCCCAGGAGCCAGAGTATGGCTGGAGCTGATCCATCCCCTTGGATCCTTTTGTTGCCCTGCCATGGAGGAGGGAGCCCCATGAGGGATGTGCTCACTGGAGGACAGGGAATGGGGATGCCTCAAACTCTACTTGTGAGACACCCAGAGCTCAGGGAGGGTCTGGGGGTCTTTGGGATGGCATCAAAACCCCATCCCTGATTAGGCTGGGCATTGCCAGGGCACCGAGCCACTTATATCCCAGGATGTTTCGGGGATCTTTGGGATGACTCTGATGCAGGTTGGGGACTGAACCACTCATCTTTGGGATGGCACCAAACCCCATCCCTGCCACAGGCTGGGGATGGACTCGCCGGGTCCCTGGGGAGCCCCGTGCTGGTGCCAACTGCCCTCGGGCCATGCCCCCGCTGTGTCGGGGCCTGGCCTGTGCCCAGCTCCCCTGGATAATCCTCGGGCCCCGGCAGGGCCGGTGGAGCCGGGCCAAGCCCCCGCTGGTGGTTTAATTACTGTGAATGTCGCAGGCGGCCGGTCCTGTCAGCGGCGGAGGGGCAAGTCCGGGGGGCTGTGGGGCCGCCGTGGGTGGTCGCCCGGATGTCCCCGTTCCTAATTTGTCCCCCTCCAGCCCTGCCCTTGGTCTCCGAATTAGGTCAGCGGGGGCCGGGGGGAACAGGGATGTGGGGGTGCAGCCCCCGGGCGGCCTCGGGGGAGACGTGACCAGAACAAAAGCGAGCGCTCGTTAAACTCTTGACATCGCCCTCGAAGCAAACAAACAAACCCCCCCCCCCGCCCCGGGACCTCCTTCCTCTGGCCCTCGGGATGGGTGGCACAGCCTGGTCCCCCTGCAGGACCTCCTGGCCGTGACCCCCAGGGGGATTCTGATCCCATGGGAGCTGTGTGTTGTCCCCAGGGCCGTGTTGGGGTACAGAGTGGGGTGTCACTCTTGGCACATCGATGAGACTGATTCAGTGCCTCCCTAAGGCTCCTGGAGGCCTCTGAGGGTTTTACCCTCAGAGTGTGGAGAGGGCAGAGCTGGACACTCTCCCTGGAGCAACTCTGCCCTCAGAGGCCCAGCCTGGAGCCCCTCAGGGGGGCTGGGGGGCCTCTAGGTGGGGCAGACAGGACCTGTAGGGCAGGGATGGGCTGTGGAGGGGCCCGGGGCATTCCCAGGGGGAGCAGCAGCTTCCAACATGTCCTGAAGGACCCTGGTTGGAGTGGGAGAGCAGGGACACGGCCAATGGCCATGGAATCACCGCCCCAGCAGGGCCATCGGGGGCTGAGGTGGAGCCACGTCCATGTGTCTGGCGCTCGCTTGGGCTAGAAGGTTCCCCAGCCCCATGGGCAGTGACCACACTGTCCCCTCCTGCAGTGACCCTCCAGTGTCCACCCTGTCCCCTCCCACAGTGAATCCCCTGCCCACCCTGTCCCCTGTCCTGGCCCAGCCATAATTAGCTGCTGGACATTCCCGGAATACCTGCAGCCCCTAATGAGGCTCCATAAAGCTGCCCCTGATCCCGCGGCTCCTCCGGCACTTGGGGCCACTTGTAAATCTCTGCTTTACCACCGGGGGGGCTGCATTGGGAGGAAATGGGGGCTGGGAGGGGGGACACAGCTCCTGCCATGGCCTGGAGCTGGTGGTCTGGTGTGAGGTGTTCCCTCACACTGTCCTGGGTCTCCATCCCTGTCCCTTATCCCCTCTCCTTGTCCTGTGTTGTCTGTCCCCCCCTCAGGGTCAACCCACCCTCACTACAGCTCTCGGGGGGTTCAAGGTGGTGACCCCCCCTCAGTTGTGGTCTCAGCCCCCCTTCCCCATCACTGGGACAGGCACATCCATCTCTGGGGGGCTGAACAGGTTTTGGGGTGGTTGTTGCCAGGTTTTGGGGTGGCTGTTCCTGGGCGGATTCTCCAGGTGTTGGTTGTGTGAAGGCACAAGGACCAGCGTGTCTGGGGGGCTCGGGAGGGGAGGGGGCTGTGGGTGATTCCCAGGTGGGAGATAAACCTGGGAATGTCCAGGGGCTCTGAGCCGGGCACCAGGCACCGGGTGGGCTCCGTCCCTTCTCATCCCTTGTCCCTGAGGCGCGTCTGGCTTTGGGAGCATGGGAAAAATGAGAAGCATCAGGGAAAGATTTCCCAAGCGCCCAGAGCTGGATCAGGCCAGGAGATCCCAAGGGACGGGTGGGAGGGGGCGGTGGGGGGACTGCGGAAACACAAGAGGGGCTGTGGGGACGTGGATCTGGTGCTGACCGTGGGATCCGGTTCCGGTGAGGGACTGGATCCAGATGAGAGGCTGGATCCGGGTGGGGGTTTGGGTCCCAGGGAGGGCCACGATCAGTAGCCTGAGCAAAACACATTTATCATCAATTTTCCTTTTTTCCCAATATCTTTTTGACTCTATAAATTTTTTATTGTACAAAAGGTCTAAACAAACTGAAGGAGCTGGGGCTGGGGTTGGGGCCGGGGCCGGGGAGACCTTTAGGGCACGAATTACAACAGATGTCACTTGTCCAACACTGGAGTCATGGGGACATTCGTGGGGCTTTTCCTCTCCTGTGACTCTTTGGGGGCCCTGAATCCCCTGATCCCATCCCGTTCACCCACTCCAGGGGCACCAACTCCCTCCCTCTCTGCTGCTGGGGGAGGGCAGGGTGGCATCACCACCCAAGGACCTTTGTGACAAGTCTATGTGTGACAAGGCCACGGCGTGACAAGGCCACGTGTGACATGGTGGCGGTGCTGGATGTCCCCATGCCAGATGCCCCCATGGATCCAGGGCTCAGACGGGATGAGGACTGTGGAGCCTCAGGCCAGCCTGGGAGGTGGGGGGATATTCTTCTGGGGGGGGTCTTTTCCTTTCCCTGACCCCTGGGGTGCCACAGCCCCCCGGCACTGATGGGCTGATCCCCGTGCCCACGGACGCCCACGAAGGCGATTGTCCCGGCCTCGTCCCTTCTCCACCTTTCCGTAGTGCAAATGGTTCCCAACCCCTGGGGGGCTGCTCTGTCCCCTCCACTCCCTCCGGCCACCCCTCGGCTGCGGTGTCACCTCCAGCTCCCTCCTGGTGACACTGGATGAGCCACCACAAGCCCAGTGTCTCGAGGGACATCGATGGCACCGGTGCTGCCCAGGGGTCCTGGTGCCACCAGTTCATGCGACCCCTGCCCAGGGTGCTGGGCCCCCCAGGGGTGCAGATGGAGCTGAAAGCTTGGAACTCTTGGATTATTTCTCTCTCTCTCTCTCTTTTTTTTTTTTTTTTTCTAATGTTTTTTATTATTATTTCTTGTATAGTTTTGCTGTTCAAGTGCTGAGTTTGGTCCCACCGTGAGCCCCATTCTGACCAGCCATGGCCTTTTGGGACCCGCTGTGACCCCCCCCCTCCCCCGGGGCCCATCCCGGACCCTCCCTGGACCCCCCAGAGTGACAGAACGAGGAACAAAACAACAAACAGACGAACAGAAAAGGAACCTAAGACATTACACACAGACCGATACACCAGGAAATAATTATAATAATTATAATAATTATAATAATAATATACTGAGGGGGCCACCACCCCCGCAACCCCCGCCTGGGAGAGCTGCGTACGGGACCACTCAGCCCTGGGCACTGGGACCAGTGCCGCCTGCTACTGGGACCATGGTCCGGTGCCTGGGGCTGACTGGTCCCAGTGCCCAATGCTAACTGGTCCCACTGCCTGGAGGTAATTGGTCCCAGTGTCTGGAGCTGACAGGTCCCAGTGCTAACTGGTCCCAGTGCTCGGGGCTGACTGGTTCTAATGCCTGGAGGTAACTGGTCCCAGTGCCCAGGGCTGATTGGTCCCAGTACCTGGAGCTGACCAGTCACACTTCCAGGACCTGATGGGTCCCAGTGCCCCATGCTAACTGGTCCCAGTGCCCAGGCCTTCCCATCATTTCTCCTTCAGTGCCACCTGCCTGTAACAGTTGCCTTGGGGCCCTGGGGGGGCTTTCGGGTT